AAAGAGTGTTGGTCCCTGTAGCTCCAGCACTTGGGCTCATCTCCCGTCTCAGCTTTCGCCCCACAGCCTCCTCCCTGATCACCGTTCTCTTCCCTCCCTCTCCCTATCTGCAGTGACAACAGTCCCTGTGTCTCCCACAGTGCTTCACTCTGCTCTGTGAGAGCTTGGATGCGAGGTGCCCCTCTGTCTCTGCCCCCTTTTATGCCAGCCTGAGAGAGAAGCATCAGCCCGTACTGAATGGACTCCTCCAGGGATCCACCTTGGAGCAGCCTGCTCTGCAAGGTAGCGGTGGTAGCAGCCCACCACCTTCTCCTAGGGCTCCCTGAGGGTCTCCTCTCTCTCTCCAACCCCTGGGCTCCCTCAGAGCGCTGACTGCCATTGCAGCACCATCACCAAGAAGAAGCAGTTCTTACACGATCTCCCTGCAAAGCTGCTCTGCGCAGGCTCCCCAAACCCTTACTACCCAGGGCTCTCCCGTCCTCCCCTTCAATCCCAGAGCTCACTGTCCTCATCTCCCAAGCTTGACTTTTCCTCTCTTTCTCCCCAGCCCTATCCTGCAGCCCCTCGGTGTCCCCTCACCCTTGGCATGTCTCCTGAGTTTTTATCCTGTGCAGGTGCAGTGATGGAGGCCAAATCAGCCCATGACCAGAGCCAGCATGTGGCAGATCTCTTTACGGCCGCACTGGCTGCTGCCTGCAGCATCCCCCTGGGGAGGAACGGGTGTCGGGAAGCCAAGCAGCAGGTCAGGCCGACTCTCTTTGCAGGGCGGGGAGGTGTCCTTGGTCACCACAGAGGCAGTAACCTTCTGCAGGAGAATCTCTTTCAGCAGCAGAGCGCAAGGCTGGGATTCTCTAGGTTTGGTGGCTGCAAGGCTGGGATTCCCAGAGGTTTGTAGGCTCCTCCTTTCCAGGCAGGAGCTGAGCTCCAGGAGAGTCTAAGGACTCCTAGGTCAAGTAAAAGACTTCCACTTAGGATCTGAACTGTGGGATAGACTGAATAATGAAAAAGGCAATGAAGAGAAGATGTGGAAAATTCTTGTATGACAAGGACATGAACTATAGGAAATATGAAATTGAATAGACAATAAATAAGAGGGAAAACAAGAATACAGGTTTGCATTTGATCCCTAATTTCAACTCTGAATCAGCAAGGAAGCAGAGGAGAAATCTCATCTTGCTTATTTCAGCTCAGGGACTGTGCGTCAAAGCGATGCTGGGTCATGGCAGATAGGTACCCCTGAGTGAACACAGGCGCTGTGCAGGGAGCAGAGGTCGTCTTTAATTATTAATTTGTTGCTAGTATTACAATGCCTAAGTCTGGACAATGCTTCAGGGTGCCCAGGGTGCAAAACAGCCTGATTTCTGCAGGTCGCTCAGGAGGTGGCTGAGAAGCTCATGGAGGGAGAGAGCCAGCAGCTTCGGAGGCTGCTGGGGAAACTGAAGCATCCAAGCTGCTCCCTGAATGTGCTCAAGGTAACAGCCCTGCCCATCTGGCTATCTGGCTGTCCATCCATCCTGTCAGGCTGGCTATCTGGCTATCCTCAGAGGCACCTGGTCCCCTTGTCCGGGACTTGTCAGCCTTCAATGACTCCCATCTCTGTGGTGTCAGTCACTGACTAACTGAGCCCATGGTAGCCGCGGGGTCTGACTGGGACGGGTCTAGTAGCTGCACCTCTGTCCGCAGAGGTTGGTGTGCATCCCTCCCTCTCTGCCTCACAGATCCTCTATGCCGGCTGCCATGCCAGCCCGAGCCTGTGCCAGCACCTGGGAAGGAGCCAGCGAATGTGGGGTTCCCTCATGCAGCTCTTAAAGGGCAAGGTAGGACTTGCTGCATCCCTGATAGCGGAGTAGGAATGCAGATAGGCAGGACACATTCCTCTGAGACCTGTCTGCAGGGAGTGTGACCCTGTACTGGGTGTAGTGAGGGGCAGAGGTACCTGGGCAGGGAAGAAGAAGAAGAAATGGAGTAAGGAGAAAACCTTTCCTGGCTTTCCTGGGGCTTTGAGAGTGTGGGATGGGCAGAGAGGGTATCTGGTGCAGGGAGTGGGACCAGGCCAGCGGGGGCTGAAGAGGGCAGCATGTAGGAGGAGAGAAATGGGACCAAAGGGAAAGGCTGAGCCAGGATCCTGCCAGGGGAAAACACAGACCAGACTGGGGGACATGGGCAGGGAAGAGCTTGGGGAAGACCCGCTTGGAGGATGCAGGTGCCATCTTCCCTGCAGGGCCCAGACACATGCCCTCCTCCCCTCCTGGCCTTGCTACCCCGCTGTGATTCCTGCTCCCTTGGCAGGTCCCCATGGTGGATGTGGCACAGGGGGCAGCCTGCGAGGCCTCTATGCACCTGGTGGCCCTTCTCATCCTGCAGCTCCAGGGGTCCCTTCCCAGGTAAGCACCCGCCTTCACCCCTGCCTGCCTTGCGCCAGGGCAGGAATGTAGCAGAGGAGATGAACCCTGCCCTGAACAAGCCTCTGCCCTACATCCTGCCCAGAGCTGGCCTTCTGGTCAGGATGCCCCTGATCCTGATGCATGGGAAGGGTGCTGGGCGGTGTGGCTGGGTGCTGGAGATACTGTAGAGACCTAAAATGGACGAGGAGGTGCTGTAAACCAGCACGGTCTCCCGCTGCGTGGTGGCTGCTTCCTGGCACTGGCAGGGGGGGAGTTTGGATGCTGTTGCTCTCTGGGGTGTGAGACCCTGGGAACATAGTCCTGGGAGGAGGGCTCAGCTGTCTCCTGGTCCCTATATTTCAGGCTCGAGGAGGTGGTTATTTTGGCCATGGATATTATTACCCGGTCTCCTGTTGTCTCTCTTGTGGTGAGTCTGTCCACCTAGGCAAAGTCTCCATTTAGAGCCCTGCAGAACCCCACATCCTGCCTGGGTCCTATTGTTCCTCACCCAGGGTTGGGGGGGTGCTGCCTGGCTTTGCCAGCCCTGGGAAAGGGACGCGGAGTCAGCCTTGAGTGGGCATAAGGGACAATCTCAAAGGTGCTGAGCTCTCCCTGCTCCCTCAGGGTGCCGCAGCATTCCTCCTGACACAGCTCAGTCAGCATGGGGTGACCACAGCGCTCAAGGGAGAGGAGATCCTGCCGGCAGTGATGAACGCGCTGACGGCACCTGCTGAGGTATGGGACCGGGACAGAGGAGTAGAGGGGCTGTGCTGGCACACCACTGTGGAGGTGTGCAGACAGAGATGGGGTCAGAGAGGTGGAGTTTGGGTGCTGCTA